AACTTAAATCCACATGGGGAATTTTCCATATTAAAAACCTCCAAACCAAATCCCTTTTGAAAATGCAAATAATCACCACTCAGTTTTAAATTTTGCACAAATTTCCCCCATATAATTTTAATTACTAAGGTAGACAAGTATTTTTAAAATGTCTTCAATAAATGATTTAAAAGAAACACACATGTCAATATCCATAACACGTTTCCCACCGATTATCATTCAAGCAGTGCGGCACTTTGACTTTTTAAGTGCAAGGTGAACAGTGAGTTCTCTAAAGGCAGTATCATTCATATTTTCATACTTTCAATCACAAAATATGAAGATGGCATGCCAACTAAGACTGCAGATGCTGTTGGAGCATTCTGAGGCATAAGCAAGAAACCTCAAATGAAAAAGAATCACTGATAAAAGCAAAACTTAGATGAATCCCAAACAAAATGTCATATGAGAGAGCCAAAAAACAAAAGAGGACACGCTGTAGGTTCCATCTATCTTAAATTCAAGAACATGTAAAACTAACCGATGGCAAAAGAAGTCAAAGCAGTGGTTACTGTTTGGGACAGGGAGGCTACTGACTGGGAGGATGCAGAAGAAAATCTTCTGGGGTGCTGAAAATGTTCTGCATCTTTATTTGGGTAGCGATCACCTAAGTGTTTACATATATAAAAATTCATCAAGCTGTCTACTAGATTTATGCACTCCCTGTATGTCATATACATGTTCTTCCTGCCCCTCCCTTTTGCATCATCTTTTTCTAGGAAGAAACAAAGATCTTGAAGAAAACTATTAACTGAAAGTCTTTTTTTTTTATTCCCAAAGAGAGGAATGTTTAGTACTTTAGTAATAAGGATCTATTAAAATTAAGAAGTCCTTTTGCTTTTCTTCCAAATAAAACAAACAGCAACAACACAAGATTTCTGAAAGAGTAAGATACAACAAAATGGAAACAAAAAAGACTGAGACCAACCTCCAAGCAAGAAGAGTTTGCCTATAGCCACCTGCAGGGATGTTGAACTGACTTGCGCTCAGACAAAAACGACTGTCTTTTAGGTACCTACTGCAATCAGTCATATCTGTAAATGTTTCTGGAATCCAAAAGGTTCCTAATTTCTTATTTAAACTGTCTGTAGAAGTTAGCTTTACAATCAGAAAAAGGAATGAATCAAAACAAATTCAAGGTTAGGAATAATGTACCTAAAAGATAAATGGCCTCCTGTCCTCATATTTTTTAATTTAAGAGAAACCTGAAGACTGCTTCTCATAGCATATCCTGCAGAAATGAATTAAGAAAAATATTCTAATTCTCCCAAGTCATCGTATTAGATAGAATCTACTATAGGTGAAAAAGAATTAATCTCTATGAATAGTGACTTCTTTGAACACATTCTCTGTATAAGAATCTTGATATAAATCAATGATCTGAATACAAAAGATATTGTCCAAATTTTCTATAATTAACATCTTAAACTGATGCCCTATTGACAAAGGACCAGACCTGCAAGTAGCAATTCTGAGGGGCACACTGGGAAGAAAAGCAAAGCGAGCCTTCTCACCTGGTGTTTGCTTCTCACCATGTTTCCCCAGCTGGTCTTCTGGGCTTCTTGTATTCCCTCCTGAGGGAAAGCATCCATTAGATTTGTAGACTCACTTCAGATACTGGTGATAACCTTCTAGAACACCTTTCACATAACCCCAAATGCTAACAAATCCACGTTATTACTACTTCTGCCTAAAATAATCCTGAAGGGTCATTAAGAAATGGGAAATTGTTTCCCTTTCCATTCAGGTGCTGATGGAATATCAACACCTAGATGTGCCTTCAAATGGCTCTGAACACCAACTATTCAGATGTATAAATAAGGAATGGTTAGGATAATCGATGTACAGGCTACTTCCTTATTCTGGTTCTCCAACTCAAGCCAACTTCTCTAGCTTGTGAGTATCAGTTGCCACTCTCTGATCAGTTCTAGGCCTCTTACCCTCTCTGCTAAGGTACTAAGTAGAGAATGTGCTGAAGCCCATGGAAACCCATCAAGTTTTAGAAATTCTCAGAGTCCCTGGAGGTCTCAGCAGCTTCTAAGTCACAAGCTAGTCTACTTTTTAGCAAGAATTGTTTGTTTTTTCTTTTTAAAGGGTAAATAAAAATCTAGGAATAGAAAAGATGTGCCCTGGAAATATTTCCAAAAATGCTTTTTAGCTAACAAAGATGAATAAGACCTTGGATTAAAAGTATCTGTATATGTGTGTTTGCACAGAGAAATCAGAATACTGCAAAATGATCTTTCAACATCTGCTAAACTATTCTTGCCCCTTGATTCAATAAGCTTTCTAGGAATATCTGCATTCTTCTCTAAAATAATCCAATATGAAGAACTCAAATTTCTTTCAAACAGATGAACTTTAACATAACCACTTCCTAGACAGCTTGATATAGTGAAGTTTACTCTAATAATTTAAGAGAACAGCATTTAATTGGCTGCCCAAAGACCATCATTTCATCTCTGTAGCTACCTCACCATATTAAAAACCCGATTTCTGCCAACAATTTTCATTTGGAAGTTGCATGTTAAACTGCATAGGGAGAGAGTCAGTATGTTTTAAATCCCTCTGTTTTTAATAGGCTCTTTTGCAGACAGTTGCTGATGCTGACCAAGAATAGCAACATTCAATGATGAATACTACATTGCTCAAAATAAGACACTGAAGATATCAGAGCCAAGTAAGATGAAGCACTTAGTAACCCAAGGGTGGAATCTAAAAAAGGTGAAACCCTTCAGGAAACTGGTCCCTAAGTAAAACCAAGCAAACCCAAGTCCCAGTATTCTTGTTCTTACCTGTAATTGGAATCAGTTTCCAATGTATTTCAGTCTCTTCAACATTACTTGACTTAGACTGTCTATGGAATCCATGTTCAATGGGAACAGTGGGACACAAACTGCAATCTTCAAAATTATTCATGCTAATTAAATTTGGATCCTAAAAATTAGAGTAAAGATTCAATACCTTTCTTTTCAATTAATTTTAACGTCAAGAAGAAACAATTTTTATTTTCCCAAAGCAAATTCACAAACTTCAAATTGAACATTACAAATGAGAAAAAAAAATCAACATTGTAAAGTTATAATACTCTAGGTCTCAAACTAAAACCATTTTTTTTTGCTCAAAACATAATGTAATATTGATTTAGAGCAGAGGTTGCTAAATTTTTTCAGTAAAGGGTCAAATATTTAGGCTTTGTGGGCCAGGTGCTCAGCTCTTCCACTGTAGTGCAAAAGCATGACTGTATTCCCATAAACTTTTAGTTACAGACACAGGCACTGGGCTGCGTTTGGCTTATGCCCCATTAACCCAATTTAGAGTACTAACTATGTCAGGGAATGGTAACAATACAGGTTTAGTTTCTCGGTGCCTGCCTTATACACCTCCCCAAGTGAGCTTCCTGCCATCATCTCCCCGCTAAAAGACATATCCCCAAACTACATGTAGAAAGCCTGGGAACATGCGTATGACTTTTACTCAAAGGCAAGGAAGAGAAAATGGAAGAAAGAGTAAATTAGGAACAAGCCTTTAGGATTATGGTACCATTCTGGTATTGTTCTCCAAGTGACACAGCACTTCTTGGGGGAGGGGGCACTTCTCAGCTAGATATCTAAGCATGTATCATAAACAAACCAGATGCCCCATCAAGCAAGGCTTGACACCTCAGAGGTAATCATAAAGGCCACTCAATTTCCATTGCATGGGAAATACAAAGTAGTCAACCTTGTTTCTAACACTGTTACACTGACTTTGGTCATCTTATCTGCCTCATTTTTGGGTTCTGGTACTGCCAGCAGAAAGCTAATGTTGTGAGAATTCAATTTTATTATGAAATGATAGAGAATTAACTCCCAGTAAGTTGTTCCTGACAAACAGATTGTCCAGCCTTCACTTTATCATAAGAGGTAAATCTTAGACTGTATGTAAACCTATGAACAGGAAGGAAAATACTTATGCACTTGTCTCTTTGTAACAAGGAATAACTTAGAAATACTATCCTGGACAGACACTATTACTGAAATGTGTATCATTTCTTTGTAAAAGGGGAAAAAAAAACTCACTGAAGCACACCCCACATCCTCTCTTTCACACAGACATTCACAAAAGCAAACAAAAATAATTAAAAGACTTATGCTTACTTCTTTGAAATGTAGCTTATGGTCAGTGCCTACTTCACTGGTAGAAACAGCAACAGGATACTTTAAAGACGATGTATCAACTTCAAGCAATGGGCTCTGAGAACCCTTAAAATGTGCATTTTCAACTTTTGCAACCGTAGGATGCTCATATTCTTTCTTATCCAGGGTAGAGTTCAACTCATACTCATGCTTTTGCCTCAGCTCTTCATAGGCATCATCAGAGCTCAATCCTAAGGCTTTGTTGACTGTGTCCGTCAAGGACGCATCAGAATGGCGTGCATTTGCTAGTGTTTCTGACAGCCAATTAAACAGCCTATGGATGTCAGCAACGCCGGAGCTGGAGGTATCCTGCTGCTGCCGTCTCAAGTCAGCATCATGCCCAAGTGAGCCTATTGGCTGTGGAGACTCTGAAGGGAAGAGAAAGAGCTCTCAATGTCTGGAAGGCAAGCATAAAATAAAAAATAAAAAACCTAAAAATTAGTTACCATAGGACACTTACAGGCAGGAACCCAATCAAACCACCTGCTTAGACTTTACAAGTACATCCATCCC